TGTTCCCTGTCCAACTATAGCGTGGGTAATTAAGTTCCCGAAATTCGAGGACCAGTATGTACAAGACGTTTCTAGCTAGTGAAACTTCGAGTAATCTTATTACAGCACGAAACATTCAAAAACGCATGACCGCACGGGGCCCCCCAGTGCGCGTCGCCAATGATTTAATACTCTCCCCCCCCCCCTCCATCCCGCCCACTAGTATAGCCGATGTAGCTTTGGGTGGGGTTAGAGCTGAAGTCGAATCCTGGATTTTCAGCGTTATTTACCTGCATCATCCTACTAGCTGAATGCGGCAAAGTATGGTATTTTTTCTTTTTTTCTGTGTATTGTTTTTATTTTTCCCTTGTATTGCTTGTATGCCGCAAGAAGCTTCTTTTGGACTTTGTTTCAAAATTTTGAGTCCTCGGCATGTCCGAAAAGAATTGGAGCGTGTAGAATGTACTGAAGTTTTAAGCACATGGCTTTCGTTTAAATTGTTGCAGCAGGCTAATAGTAGCAGAAATCGAAAGATGCATATTATTTTATTAATTATCATTGCGTTTACGTGAGAAATTAAAACCTGATCGGCAGGGTATGTTGTTGATCCTGCCGACAACTGGCAGGCGTCACGCATGAAGTAAACGACCACTAGGGGGTCATCGGAGAGGGGGCGCACGTGTACTAAGTAGGCAGTGTATATAACTAATGATATACATCACTGGAACGATGTGCCTTTCAGAGTTGTACTGAGCGTATGGGAGCATAACTAATGTAGGATATTCGCACGGATTATTCGATCCACAGTTTTCATTGCAGCAATTTTTACGGTTAGCTTGTTTCCAGGTGTTGTTCACATGCTCTGGCAGAACGCTGATAACAATGGGTGATGATGGTTTTATCAAAATTTGGGAGATCAGCGAAACAAAATCTGTCCCACTGAAAGTCATCGAAAACGCTCATCGCGATCACATTCGTTGTGGTGATGCTTCGGCTCACAGCGACCATCTCTTTGTTAGCGGTAATTGTATTTGTTTTGTTTTTTTTTGTTTTTTTTTTTTCCCCCTCTATCTGAAGTTAATAGCTGAACCGTTAGTAATTTATATCAGTGTTCGACACTGGCCTGATTATCACTTTTATTGCAGTGCACTCAGACTAAAGTTATATCCACTTCCATATTTATTCTTTGTGGGAGATGGAGGCACTCGAAAAGTAGCCCAAATGATAGTAAGTTCGAACATCGACTTTTAAAGTAGCTGACAGTGGCATCCATCCTATTTCGAGGTCTGCTTACAAACAAGCGCATAGCGGGTTTTTCTTCGTAGCCAAAGGACTATGGACCTCCAAGAAGAAAAACCCGCTATGCACTTGCTTGTGAGCAGTCCTCGAAATAGGATGGATGCCTCCTACGATATGCAGCTGAACGTAAGAAGCAAAGTCGTTCGCTTTTTTGTATGATTTTATTATGGCGATTGTACTGCTGAAGTATTCTTGTACACACACACACACACATCGCATGCATATGTTTGGTTTTGTAGGCTCATACGATCATACAACAAAAGTTTGGGATACTCGCAAAGATGAATTGGAACCTCTGTTATCGATGGACCATGGTTTTCCGATCGAACAGGTTCTCTTCCTTCCCGGTGATGCATTTATTGTTACGGCTGGTGGCGAATTCATCAAAATCTGGAATGTTGCGTCCGGCGGAAGCTTGCATCACACACTTCACAATCATCATAGAACGGTAAAGCATGAGTTTTTCATAGCCACCAATTAATAGTGTTTTCCATTAACAGTGGTATTTTCTAATGACAAAAAAAGATAATTTTTACTAACAAAATCAAAATTTTTTCTTTGTTTACTCTTCACACTCTACGGAAAACGAAGATACTCAAAAATAGCTCGAGTAACGATTTCTTGATTATTTTAATTTCTTCGGCCATGCCAAATAGTTAGTTCATCTGTTTTCTCGTGGCTGTTGTCCAAAGTGCTGATACAGATATCTACCTCTTTTTGGGTTTGCAAACACAGCATTACTTTCCCTTCTCCTCCTAGGAGATGAGAAGATATGCGTGGGGGTCGCATACATACTATTACTTTTAGCAGTGAATACCATCGTTGTTACCAAGGCAAACAGCATCTCATTCCGGTGAATTTTTCTATTCGTTTACAGGCCATGGGAAAGAGCATTTTAGCAGGGTATGGTACATTTATTTTTTCAGTCAGTGGTGTTTGTAAGCTTCATACTTTGGGTTAAGAAAAGTACACTGTACAGGATTCTAGAGGGGTATCATGCCGCATATTCCGTTTTAAAGCGGTGTGAACTGTGTTACTTGATGACTTTAAGTACAGTTTGAATTTCTAGCAAGAAATGAACTACTGAATTGTGATGGGAATTTGCATAAAATGCACCCAAAAATTTTTCCAGGTGACGGCGCTCTGCTTAGGATCGAAGGGAACTCGACTTCTTTCTGGCGGTCTCGACAGGCGGATCAATGTTTTCAGCCTTAATACCGGTGATTATGCTCTGCTCCAGACTCTTTGCACTTCTGCTCCGGTGCTGCTTATGGAATTTTTGCACAAATTTTCGTATATTTTTGCATAATTAATGCAGCAGTAACGCATAATGTAAATCATGTTTAGCAAAAACATTTGGTGCCGTTTTATGCGTTTTATGTTGTGTACCAACTGCACAAAATGCATATCGTGACGTCCCTGTCAGTTTGTGTGTATGTCTGTGGTTCATGTGTGCCTTTGTGTATATGTATTTGTGTATGCGCGTATATACATATATATATATACATATATATATATGTGTATATATACATACATATACATATGTATATACATATATGTACACATATATATGTATGTATATATACATATATATGTAAACATATACACATCTACGTATACATATATATATATATATACATGTGTATATACACATGTATATATGCACATATATACGCATATATATATACATATATATATATATATATATATATATATACATGAATGCCTGAACCAGTAAAGTTGGGAAGCTGAAATTTTGGAGTTATGTCCTCTGCCCATGTGCTGCTCCGCAGTTTCAAATTCAACTTATAAGTATGCCTCACGTATGACCACCTTAAAGTTTTGGTGAGGAAATTACTATCTCGGAAACCACAAAGGCTAGGAAGCTGAAGTTTTAGGAGAATGTTCCTTACCCAGGCGTGTAACTCTGCAAATTCAAATTCAGCTTTCACTTATGCCTGGGCCTCACATAGGAACAGGGAAAAATTCTGGCGGAAAAGTCACTGACTTGGGTTCCGGGAAAGCTGGAAAGCTCAAATTTCAGGAGGATGTTCTATATTCACATTTGATCCAAATAAAGGTATCTCTTTAGTAGTCTAGGTCTCATGTGCCGGCACGTGAAAATTTTAGCAGAAAAATTTTGCTAGCTCGGGAACCAGAAAGATTTCTGGAAGACGTTTTCTGCCTGTGTAGGATCTCACAAACTCGAATTTAGCCCTCACTTTTGCCCGGGTCTCACACACGGCCATGTGAAAGTTTTGGCGCAAAAGTCACGAACTCAGAAGTCAGAAAACTCGGAGGCAGAAGCTTTGGGAGAATGTTTTCCGCTCACGTACAGTTCAAGGGTTTCAAATTCAGCTTTCGCGCCTCACTTATATTTCACGCACCAGCACTTGAAATTCATATTCCTCAAAGTAATAATTGTTAGCAGGCACATAGGATAATCAGGATAATCATAGTTTCTCATATAATCATTATCACTGCAGACTAATAATCATATTTTGCATTGTTTTTTTTTTT